TCTCAGTAAACTTGGAATCCATGTTTTGAGGCTCACAGACGGGTCTCTATTCTAGAACGTGGGATCCTTTTCAGAATCGCTGTCCGAAAGCCCAGCCCAGCCTCGGTGCGTGTCCTCAGTCCTTCCCTCTGAGCCTTGCGGGCCAACTTTCCGTGTGGGTTTGCCAGCAGCGCAAGTAACAAGCTCAAAAACACAGAACCGGGGGAGGTGCGTTGCTTTTAACCGAAGGAACACTGTGGTCAACAGGAACTCCAGAGGCGGCGGTCTGGCTGGGCGCTCTGCCTCCTCCCCTCAGGCACCTGCGGGCTGTGAGCACTGGGTCAGCGCGCACTGCAGCCCTGCCTCCTGCACCCTGACCTCAGAAGGCAGGCGGGCAGGCGCTCCAGCACACGCGGGGGCCTCCAATGCCAGGCCCTGAAATTAGCATCTCAGACTCTGTGTGTCTGGGGTGATGTGTCCTACAGAATGGAAGCTGCCATGGGCTCTTCTGATCCCTGGCAAAGACAGTTACTCGCTGGACATCGGGCAGCAGAGGAGATCCGAAGCTAGCCAAGCATGCACCGGAGAGGAAGAGAGGGGCTACTTGGGACAGGTGGGACTCTAAGTTTGAGGGGAGTGACCAGGGCCCAAGGAAACAGCGAGGTCCTATTTCTTATGGTCTGCTCAGGAATTTCCCACAACCCTTTGGGGCTGGGAACAGAGAGTATTGCCCCAGACACTTGCATCACCTATTGAAATATGCCCATCTGAACAGCCACAAAGAAAAGGGTAAATGTTCTTTATCTAGAAATGCTAAAAAGGAGCCCCAGGCTACAGAAACGCTCACTAGGTCACAAGGCAGCTGCGGTCTTCCCCCAGCACGGAGCTCGGGACTCTCTCCAGGGGTCAGCGAGGTGTCACCTCTCTGGACAGGGATGATACTGGCAGCCACTTTGTGGCCACACAGGGGCCCGGCTTGAAGAGGGAGCAAACGGTGTGCATGTCCCTTCAGGTTCTGCCAAGGAGGCAGAACCAGAAGAGATAGCCTGCGCGAAGGTCAGTGGCCACTCAGGTGGCAACAGTGAACCCTTCAGATTGCTGATGGAGTGTGATTTGGAGCAAGTCACTTAGCCTCTGTGCCTCAATGGCCTGAAATGACGGCCATAAAATCAACATGTTCATCCTCGTACAGGGTTGGAGCGAGGCAGCAGTCTCAGAGTTGGAGGTCGTCCTTGTGGTCGTCATCATCGCCGGGGTCAGAGTGCAGGCGGGGTGAGCGCAAGATGGCCGAGAGCCGGGCCGTGGCCCAGCCACAGAGCTCGGACGACGCCCCTTCTGGGCCTCAGGAAGCAGAGGAGGGCCAGGGACAGGCTGGCATGGGTGGATTTCTGTTTCCAAACTGGCTCCCGGGCGAGGACAGCACTCTGCGCAGAGAGACGTTCAATGGGATGCCCCCGTGGGAAAGGGTCCTGAAGCCGCTCCCCATGGAAAAAGGTTCAGGATGTGCGCTCTCTTTCGCTGGGGGCAGGGGCGCGGGGATGGGTGGGGACGGGTGAGGATGACACTGGTGGTCTCAGGGTCGTCACGGGCCTGCCCTGCGGAAGAGGCACGGGAGGAAGGGTTAGGCCACGCGGGCTGCAGGAGGGTCGCCGTCACATCCCTCCTTCTCCCGGGAAGGACCTGTGGGAGGCAGGGCTGCACAGGGTCCAGAGGGAGGCCTTGGCGGGCAGCAAGCCCCCCATCCGGGGAGGCATGCAAGCGGACTCCGGCTGAGCACTGGGCAGGGAGGCTGTAAGGGAGCACAGGCGCCAGGCAGGCTGACGTAGGTTATTTCTGAGCCCCTCGCAACCTTAACCTCTGTTATTCTACCGAACCCCAGAGAGGTGGGGGGGTCAGTCTGCTATGGCTGCTGTAACAAGTCACCAGAAGCTGGGTGGCTTACAACAGACACTTGCTCTCTCGTGGCCTGGAGGCCAGATGTCTGCCGCGAGTTTCCCTGAGCTAAAATCAAGGCGTGGGCCGGGCTGGTTCCTCTGGAGGCCCCAGGGAGAATCCTCGTCTCTCTCAGCTCCCGTGGGCACCGGCATCCCGTGGCTTGTGACCTCTTCCTCCAGCAGAAAGGACCTCCCCAATCCTGCTTTTCTCTTCACACTGCCCCTCCCCCACACAGGCGGAGCCACCGCCACGACCCGCAGGCACAGCACGTGCCCCATGCGCTTCCGAGTTAGCTGCCCGCTCACGCTCCGGTGAGGGCGGGAACCCCCTCTCCCAGGGTTATCCCCACGATCCACCTCAGGAGACTCCCAGAATGTAACTGTGTCCAAGGATGAATAAAGAACCCATTCAAAGAAAATGCTGCTGTCTAGTGGAGAAACATTCTCCTGCTCGCTCCTAAGCTCTGGTGGGGGTGGGGGGCTCTCTGGACATCGTGAGCTTCCACGAGGTCCCACGGGGCCCCACGCACAATGGGCCCAGGCTCCGGCGCAGACCTAAGAGGATGGCAGAAACCTCTGGGAGAAGAGAAAGGCTTTAGTCTGCAAGAAATCCCCACCTGGATGTTCGATAGTCACATTCTGGACGGAGCAGCCTGACGCTGAAGGAGCAGAGATGGGGGCGGGGCAGGGGGCTGAGGGGCTGTGGGGTGGGGGTGGCAAAGGAGACCTTTGTGAGCACAGACATGGGTCTCCTGAGCCGCCTGCACCCTGGCGGGGCCGGGGCGGCCAGGGTGGGGCTGGCTCAGGCTGCACACCAGGCATGCGGCAAAGCCTCCTGAGCGTCTGCTCTGCCCCGCTGGGCGCCGGGTGCTGACAATCCGCAGTGAAAGGAGCCCTGGGTGGGCGAGGGAGACGGACAAAGTCCTCTGCGCCCCATGGCCAGTGCTGTAGCTGCAACAGGGCCTTGGGTTTGCCCAGGGAGCCCACGGACGGCCACACGCGGTGTCCCGAGTGGGAGAGGGGTAGACCTCCCAGAGACACATTAGCTCAAGGTCGAAGGCGGGGGCAGGTCCTGACGTCTAGCGCAGGGACAGCTCCTGGATCTGACCAGTCCGGGGACTTGTTTGGGTGCCTGGGCTTGTTTCCCTTCCCTGTCTCCAATACCATGCGCACTCCAATGCGCACTCCAGGAGCACGCCCGTCCTGAGGCCCCGGAGCATTTCAAAGGGGACCTGGAGGCCCTGGCTGGGCCACGCCCCAGGCTGCCCCACGGGGTGGGGGTGGTGGGGGGACTCCTCCGTCCAGAAGGAAAACATCTGCGTTTGCTGCCTGTCCCTCCGTTCTGCCCGTCTGAGAGGCTGCCCAGGAGACGGCGCCCCGGTCACTTCGCTAAAGGTGTTTAGAGAACACTCTCACCGGCAAAACAGGAAGGCGCGACTGTGATCCCTGCCCCGGGCCGTAGCACCAGGAAACCAGATAAATAGCACGGCAGGGCTGGAAGGGACCTCTGGCATTGCCATGTGATGCCACTGTTGAGGGACAGGGAGTGGGTCCCAGGCCAGGCAAGGCAAACAGAGCGGGGAGGGGCTGGAGCCAGCGCGCCATCCCTGCGGTGGACCCCGAGCCACGCCACGTCCAGCCACCGTGCTCCTTTCACTCACCCTCCTGGTCCCCATTTTTGGTGGTTTTGTTCTGGGGTGCGCGGCTTGCTCGGGCCCCTTTCTGCCCCCTCTCGCAGTGACAGAGGCTTAGGAAGCAGGCAGTCACAGGTCCGGGGCCTCCCCTGAGCCGTGTGACCTCAGGCAGTTTCCTATGTCCTGACCTTCGGTCTCCTCCTCTGCGAATCGGGAAGACCCCGCCCACCCACTCCTCTGGCGTTCCGGGGCTCAGACGTCGGCTGTGCGTTGCTGCGCTTGTGGTACCTCGGTGGCGCTCCTGCATCCCTGCTGGAGCCTAAGCAATGCGAGGCGCTGAGTGGGGATCTCTCTTCTCACAGCAGCTCCTTCTCCCTGCTTGTCCCATGGTCTCGGGCAGCCCAAGCACCCAGACCGCCCCCCGCACCCTCCTTCTCCAATCAGGGTGCTGTCTGCCTGCAGCTCTGTGGCCTTGGGCAAGTTGCTGGAACTGTCTGAGCCTCAGTGTCCCCACCGGGAGCAGGGGGCAGTTTTCTGAGGTACCTGCGGCACAGGGACAGCTATGGGACTGGAGACAGGGACATTAGCTCCGACGTTAGTCCCATGGTGTTCCCTCGGTGTCTTTTAGTCCTCACCAGGACTTCTGAGCTGGGGGCTCCCATGATCCCCATTTCCCCAACAGGGAGAGAGAAGAAAGCGTTAAGAAAACTCACCCAAAGTCCACACCAGAGGGGAGGAACCGCTTGTCTCACTGAGTGTCTAAGGAGACCACTTACTCCCTGCCCAGGAGAGTGGCCTGCAGGGCCCTGTAATGGAGCCGGGCATTTGGGGAAAAGCCAGCCTGCGGGTGGGCCTGCTCTGTGCGGGCCGGGCCTGGGGCTTGACGTGGGCCGGCTGGGCGAACGCTCGCCCCCTCCTCCACGGCTGCCAGCATCAGCCCACCTCCCGGGTGCCCAGACACAGCTGCTCAGAGGGCACGTGAGCGCCCGAGGGTCCCCGGCTGGTCAGTGTGGGGTGGACGTGGACACCCACCCAGCTGCGTGACCCCACGCCCTGGTCACTGGTGCTCAATCCGTCACTGAGGGTCTTCTCCCTCCCCCACCTCTGTAGCTTTATGACCTGTCCCCAGTCTGAGGGGACTGGCCGTCCATTCTGGCCTCCGCTGAACCCCCCTCATCCACCTTGGCCTTCCTCTTGTTCCCCCGCCCCCACATCTGCGGGCCCTGCCGCGTCAGGCAAAGCCCCTGCCCCGGAGAAGCATGTACTGGAAGTGTGCAGAGCTCCGCCCTGCTTGCCCTCCAGGCGCCCGGCACCCCCCAGGCTGCCCCCCTCTCACAAAGGGGGCCCTTCAGGTCTGAAAGGATCCAGTGTCCAGGTGGGCGTGCTCCATGGCTGTGGCTGGGCCCCACAGGAAATGGAGGGCGGAGGACCACCCCCAAGCAGCTGCTTAAAGGGGCAGCCGGCCTGGGGCTGCAGGCGGTCCCTGTGCATCATGAGGCCCTGGCTGCTCCCCCTGCTGCTGCTGCTCCTGGCCAGGCCGCCCGCTGTGCGGCCTGCGCCCCCGACCTGCTACTCCAGGATGCTGGGCCTGAGCCGGCAGATCACCCGGGACTTCCAGAGTCTGCAGGCCACGGAGCCCTTGGTGAGTCCCCTACGCCCACCGCGGACCAGGAGGGTCAATGCAGACCGTGTTCCCGAAAATGCGCCTTTGAGCCAAGAAAAAAAATTAAAAAGAAAGTGTTCTTTTTCTTTTCTGGTCAATGTTACTCTTAAAGGTATTTGTGTTTTATTCCCATCCTTTTAAATATGACGCCAATGGTTTGCCCTTTCTTTATAAAGTACAAAGAAACATAATTAAGGACTTCACAATTTCTGCTTATAACTTGCTAACAAATATCAGAGGATCTGTTCTAAAATGTAAAAAAGGAAGAAAAAAACCTCTCAGTAGAGTCTAGAACTCAGGATTTTAAGAAGCAAATAACCTGGCTGATGGACTCTCTTCCCCGGCCAGCGGGCTCTCTAGGGGCGACTCCTAGGACTGGGCTCTACCCCCCGCACCCTCCCACTGCAGGACCTCGACTGGGACCTGGGACTGGGCGGATCGCAGCCCCTGACCTCAGTGTCCTGCTCCGCGAGTGCGGGCGGCTGAGCACCCGCCCCCTCGGGGCAGCCATGCGGGATCCAAGGGGGACTACAGGCAGAGCAGGGCTGGCGGGGGACCCCAGGAGTGGCAGCCGCCGCCTCCGAGTCAGACCGAGGGCCGCCCAGGGCTAGAACCCGGGCCTCCTGACCGCCGGGTAGAAGCAAAATGAATTCTAAAGTCCATTAAAAACTTTGGCAAAATTTAAGTATCCCTTTACTGCTTGTAAACACTTCCAACAATACGTAGCGTTTCTCAGATGTGGAATTTATCGCACCCTAAAGTCTTCTTTGTATTTTCTTTTAAAAATTAAATAAGGTTTGCTTTTTTTCTAATTATGAAAGTCATATACATTGTAGAGCTGTTGGAAAAGACATTGTAGAGCTGTTGGAAAGGACAAAGAAGAATTACTCGCAATTCCACCCCCTAGAGGTGACTGCTGACCTAGCATTCTGGGGGAGCATTTCGGCCCCGCCGCCGTGCCCCCGCCTGTGCAGCGGCGTTCCAGTGCCTGGTGCGCGTGTGCGGGTGTGTGCGGGCAAGCGTGTGGGTGTGTGCACTGTGTCGCTTTGTGAATGTGTGCGAGCAGATTGGGTCAAACGGCACAGCAGTTCTGCAATTTATATACTTTGAAATGATACCGGCACCAAAGTTAATATTCTTTCATAATGATGTTCTGTTGTGTTCTTGCTCCACAATTTATCCACAGATTCCCTGGCCTTACATGTGCAAACAGCTTTGAGAGGACTCTGATTTTAACCCGTAAATCAAATGCGTGGGCTCAGAACTGCAGAGCTAGGCAGAAGAGGAGAGGTTATGTACTCTAGCTCTAATTTCACACCTGGGACACTGAGTCACCTAGAAGAAGACCTGCCCCAGGTCACACAGGGAATTTCAGAGAAGGTGTTAGGGAGGCACACACCCCACAGGGGTGGCACAGGACCAGAATCTGGGTCTCTGGCCTTCGTCCTACACAAAAAGTAAAATACAGTGATAGCAAAGGATACAAGCGTATGCACTCCATATTACTATGGTATATTATATTATTGCTCTTTGTAGGTTACAGTTAGAGAACTGTTTATATGCATATACACGAATGTATATTTATGGGGGTGGCTATGGTTACATCCCTGTACAGGCGTGGCCTTCTACAATGTGTGGCAGTGCCCTAACTCGTAGGTGATGATGCCGAGCCAGCCCTCTGACGGTCGGCTTCGGCAGCGATGTGGCCACAGGACCAGGAAGTCCTGTGTGTGTCGGCCCCCAGGCCCCAGGGCCCTGGGGCCGGCCCAGCTGTTGGAGGGAGGGCTGGCCGGCAGCCCCCGCGCCCAGGCTGAGGGTGTGTGCCTTTCTGCAGGAGCCGTGTGTGAGATACCTGCCCAGGCTGTACCTGGACATACACGTGAGAGGGGTCTGCCTGCCTAGGGGAGACACGGGTGGGGGCGGGGATCTTGGATGCGGGTCACAGGAGCCCCGGGCTCCTGCCTCTCTGGCCACTGGTGTCCCCCATGAGACCTCCCTGTCCCCGCTCCCAGAATTACTGCGTGCTGGCTAAGCTGCGGGACTTCGTGGCGTCCCCCCAGTGCTGGAGGGTGGCCCAGGTGGACGCCCTGAAGGACAGAGTGAGGAAACTCTACACCATCATGAACTCGTTCTGCAGGAGGGTAAGGGTGTGATGCCGTAGAAAGTCCCCAGTTCGCGCGGCGTCAGCCGAGGCTTTCAGAAGAGGAGTGTTGGCGGGTGGGGGCTGACAGGGAGGAAGAGTTTGTGGGCGCTTCCTGCTCACACAGCCCTTCCTCAGTCACGGCCGCCCTTGGTGAGTGGTGGGGACTCGGACCAGCCCCCTCGCCTCCACAGGCTCCGCGCTGACGTGGGCACAGCACCCAGGGCCACGTGCTTGCCATGTAACACAGGCTGTGCGGGAAGCCAGGCAGGGCCGCGGGGTGGGGGGGGGGGCGGAGGCCATGGAATCTCCGAGCTCCCTGAGCCCCTTCCCGGGTGATGGGAGGCGTGGTGCGGGGCCTTCGGGTGGGCTCCGTGGCAGGCGGAGGAGGGGTCGGCGGCAGGAGCAGCAGGAGATCGGCACTAGCTGAGGCGTGGGAAGTCCAACGGGCAGGGCCTTCGGCCTCGGACACCCCTGAGCTCCGGTCTTCGTCTCCCTGCTTCCCAGATGGGCGTGTCCCCTCCCCTCTTTGAGCCACAGTCCCCTCGTTTGTGAACGGGGAGGGGCAGAGAGTGACTCTCTCGAGGTCGTCGGGAAGGTAACAACGGCTGCGCCCTGACCGTGTGTGTCGGGGGCCACGGCGGAGCCCCGCTGGCCTGAGGACGCAGCGGGGGACCGACGCAGAATTCCTGGCAGCATGGCGGCCCAGAGCGCGTCCTGGGGGACTCCAATAACTAGCGATGAAGTTGTAACGGATCTGTTCATCTGTCAAAGATGTGTTAGGCACTTGCTCCCCACACCCCTGTTCCTCCTCATTCCTTTCTCCCCTTGGACTGTGGGCTGGGGGCGGAGCCAGGAGGAAGACGTGAATAACAGGGTCTGTCAGTGGTGTTACTGACTCCGGTGCATCTGAAGGTGAGCCCTGGCCGTTTCTCATGGTATCCCCGCTGCCTGGCCCAGAGCCATTGCTCAGTGCCCTCCCCACCTATCCATCTGGTCAGCCAAGGCACGCGTGAACTCAGGGAGTAATAAAGAACACGCAAGACTCTACGGGAACGTGAAGACGTGACTAGCCCTCCCAACGGGAAAGAAGGAGCAGTCCTTGAGGATAACCGGGAGCCCAGTATCCGTGCCTGGGCTCTGCAGCCACCTTATTGCACGTCTTTTTCAGGATCTGGTGTTCCTGTCGGACGACTGCAATGCCTTGGAATACCCGATACCGGCGACCACCGTCCTGCCAGACCGTCAAGGCTAAGGCAGCCCAGACCAGAGAGAGCCCAAGGAGACGGAGTTACATCAGCGGCCCAGCACCGTGGGCTACAGCCATGGTCCCCCCCGCCCCCCACCGTCTCCCTGTTTGTGCTAGCATCTCAAACGGTCAAGTGCCTCTCCACCCTCCGCGGAGCGGGGCTCCCGCTCTGACCCCGAACTCCCCGTCAGCATAGTTAGAACCCTTGCTTCCTCCCGCCTTGGCGTGTCTTGCCAGGACGCTTAGATACACAAGCAAGCAGGCTTACCCGATCACTAAGAAAAGCGCAAACCAGCTTCTCGCTTCTGAACGAGCTAGGGAACAAGCGAAAGAATGTGTGTGTAGTGCCCTTCAAATGCCATTTCTTTCGTGATAGGAACGTGCTTACATTTAACGAACCTTCTGTTCTACGTCCTCTCCCACCACACACTTTCCTAGAGCCGCTTTTCATTTGTAAGGCCACGTTGCTGCCTCTAAGGTACATTTGCGAGGTCCGTCATCGCACCGCGCTGGCGGGAACCCCTCTTTCCTGGAAAGGTGATGGAAAGCCAATAAAGACGCTCATGCCAGTGAGAAACCCGCGTCCTGCTGTTCTTGTCCAAGGCGGAGGTCGTGCTTATCCTACGCGCTCTCCGCGCGGCGCCCAGCAAGGTGCCCCTTCCTCCCTTCCTCCACCGGGCACCCGCGCTCCTGGGTCCGCTTCCACCCCCTGTGCCAATGTCTGTGCCCCAGGCATTGGGAGGTGCCCCGATCGGGGTGTGGGCACACGCGGTGCTCTGTATGGCGCCCAGAGGCAGGGTGGGCCCGGGTGCTCATGGCAAACACCAGCCCAAGGAGTCCTCGTGACAAACCTGGGGACAGGCACCGTAGGGGACGGGGCTCCCATAGAGCAAGTGAGTTGGCCATAGGTTTCCAGCTTCCCCCCCGGGCCCCACACGGGTCCCCTGCAGGCGAAGCAGCGGGTTGAGTTAATCCAGGAAACCAACAAGAACATCTCAGTTAAGTAACTGGGTTGTTAAAAATATGTCACATGTGACCCTGGGCTTTGGATTCTTTCATTCCCTTCTGTACATACGGGCCATGCTTTTCCTCCTTGATCTCAGAGGCCTCTGGTTTCTCGGATGATTTGTGAGGAAGCTTCATCAGGTTTTCATTTTCTGTCGAGAAGCACAAGCCCCCAGCATCGCCGTGCTGGGTTCCCAGGACGGCTGGAACCGGGTGCCACAAACGGCCTCCGCGTTGCCCCTCCCTCCGCCCAGGGTCCACTCGACAGCAGAACATTCTGCTTTCAACACCCACCTAGTGAACAGCTTCCTGTGGCGTCCACCGTGAATGAAACTGAACGTCTCGCCTTGGTCTGTGAATCCCTGTTTACCACCCGCAGCCCTGTCAGTGTCTGCAAAGCACCCTCGGACACGCAGCACTGGGTCACCAGTTCACGCGTGTGTGTGCTTGCCTGCTGCGTCTCCCCCATGAGACTGCGAGCCCCCGGGAGGCAGGGACCACGCCTCCCTGCCTGCCCCCAGCACCGTGCCTGGCACTCAGGAGGTGCTTAGTCACTATAGTTTGGATGTTTCCGGATACTGCTTAGTGGGAAGACCAGGAAAGGCAGCGGTTAAGGTGCGCAGCTCCAGGCGGTCTGTGCCCATCCTCTCTCCACAAAGTGCACGCTGTTTGCACGCTCCCACACTCACAGCCTCCGAGGCCTGTTTCCTGTTTCCAGGAACTGCTGATTCTTGCTGGTTTGGTCAACGTCAAAACCTCAGTCACTCTCTCACACATGCGCACGCGCGCGCAAGGCTTGTGGGTGTTCACTGGCCCGGTGCTCTAGCCGTAAACCTGGCTGTCCGGGCTGCAGCCAGCAGCAGGGACCGCACGCAGCCTTGAGCTGTGCCCCCTGAGCACGCCTGAAAACTCCACCGTCGGCCGGCCAGCTCGGAGCGCGGACCGCGGGGGTCGGCAGGACAGCCTCACACCCAGCGGCGGTTTAAACCAGCCGTGAACCATTAGGCACAAAGCCTCACGGCCTAAGCCTCGTTGATTTGCTTAGGGGCTAACGACGCGAAATCGCCGTCTGCCCTGGTACAACGTTCAGGTCTGCAGGTGCTCAGGCCAGGGGCTCACGGGACGGAGCAAGGAAGTGCCCTGAGATCGATGGAGCGTTGGGGGAGGAGAAGGAAAAATAGGAAGGTAGAGGACAGTGACACAGGGGACAGCCCAGGCGGCTGCCCTAGCTGTTTACATTCCTTCACACTGGAGGTGTCCCGGGAATCGACATTCAACATGCATTTTTAAAAGATTCGCAATCAAGTTCCTAAAACGCAGCTCGGCTTATTTTCCCAAGGGTTTCCTGGCCGTCACAGAAAGATGAGGAGGTGCGCTCTGGAGTCGCTGCGTTTTAATTCCCTTCCTCTCAGGCGCCGGGCGGCAGCATCAACCCAGGTTCGTGAAACCGGGAGTAGTCCCTTATTCTGAAGATGGGCTCAGGCCGCGGTCACGGTCACAGCGATGGGCCGGCTTCCTCTGGCCCGCCATTCTGCAGACGTGCTGAGTCTGACAACCGTTCAGCCCTGACAGGGCAGGATGTGGAGCCGCGCTCTGACCTTGTGCGCTGATACTCCAAGGTGGTCTCAATTTATCGAAGGCGGTAACCTCTCACGTATGCGGGGAACTGTGCGATTTTCAAAATATTTTCCAGTCTATTTTTCCCCTTGTTAACGTTAGTTCTTACACCAGCATTGGCGAATGGCTGGATTATGACAGTTTGTCTCCATTTATAGATTTAAGAGTGGTGCTTCAATTAAATGCCTTTCTGTACCATAAATATGCCTCATATTTTCAAATCTGACAGTATCACGGACTTTTGAGGACACGTGGTGATTAACATAATGCTGCTAATGGTGCAAAAACTTGGAAGAGGGTGTGGTGTTACCTCCTAAATCTCAAGAGGTTCATACCCTGTGACCCAGCAATTTCAACCCTAGGATATACCCCAGAGAAGTGCTTGCCCATGCGCCCCAGCAGGCACACCTGTGAGCGTCCATGACGAGGTGTTTACAGTAATAGCAAATTCCCGGAAATGACCCAAAATTCCATCCGTGATAGATAAATTGTAGAGTTATGACAAGGAATCACAGGGCCGAACCTCAGCACCCAACACTGCGGAGCACAAGGCATTCAGAACCACTCTATTCCAAAGAAAAAAAACAGGCGAAGCATAAAATGTGTCTTGGGGGTGCCTGGCCGGTGGCTCAGCTGGTGAGAGCGTTGCCCTGCGCACCAGAAGGCTGCAGGTTCAATTCCCAGGCAGGGTTTCTGTCTCACATTGATGTTTCTCCCCCGCCCCCGCCACTTTCTCTCTCTAAAATAAGTAAAAACATATCCTTGGGCAAGGACACACACATACACACATGTGCGTGCGCGCACATGCACACATTCAAGAAAGTGCTTGAAACGACGTTCAGGACAGACGCCGCCGGCAAGGAGCGGGGCAGGAGGCGGCCTGAGGCGGGCAACGCGGAGCACATGCAAAGTGACAGCGTGGCTTCTCCTTAACGGTTCAGTGTTTTGTCAGTCTTTAGGGAGACGCGTGCATTATTTAGTCCATCTATAACAAATAAAAATTAAAAGGAATAGCATTCCCATACAACATCAAAGGTTAATTGCAAATGCAATTTAAGAACCCATCTCATTTACAATGGCAGCACAAACTCTAAGGTGCCTGCGAATAAATATGAGAAAATATGTGTATCAACTTCCAAGAGAAATTTATCACAAAACTTTCATAAAGGACAAAAAAAGAACGCCCTGTGTAAATAAAAAGGTGGGCTGTTTGTGAGTCTCAAAATAACAGAACTTCAGCGTATCCGGTGAACATCCTGGCAGGATGAGCCTTGAAGTACTGGACCTCAGATTTATAGAGAAGTGCAAAAGCTCAGTGGATTTTGAAACAGAAGATGCGGGCGGGGGCGGGGAGTCTCCCAGCAGACGTGGCAGGTTGTCATGCATCACAGAAATCCGTGCACTCGGGCACCCACACAGGGATGACAAGAAACCGGTGGGACAGGTCACAGGTCAGGGGGCCCATAAACAGACCCACGGCCACTGGGTGAATTCTCGAGCACACGTGACAAAGCACTGGAAAAATAACAGACTATACAACAAACGGTGCCAAGATAACCAGCTACCCACCTAGGGAAAAAATGGAAATTCGCTCTCCTCCTGGTGCCATACACAACAAATTCCAGAGGGCTGACAGGCTTGAGGAAAGCAATATCTTCAAATATTTGAAAAACACATGGCAGGATATCTTTGTGTTATTAGGATTAGGGAAAAATTCTTAAACAGGATCCAGAGGCTGCATCCAAGAAAGAAAAACATTAATACAAACAGCCTAACATTTTCAAAGACACCCAAAACGGAGCTAAACAAATGCTCGCGTGGATTGAAAAAAAAATGCGTTCTCTGCTACCCATTCAGATCCAAACTGCTCACAAATCAATAAGAAAGATAGAAAAGTGCCAGGACTTCGACTTCATAACCTGGAAGAAAAAACTCTAACAGGCGTTTGAATGTACGGGAAGACGCCGAACGTTTCTAGCAACCAGAGAGTGACACATTAAAACCACAACGTGATCGATTTTATAGCCATCAAACAGGAGAAAAACAAAGCCTCACAACACCAGGGGTCAGAGCGGATGGGGAGAGGCGGGCCCTCGTGCGTTGCCAGGAAGCGAGAATTGATACCGTCTTTTCAGTGAGCAGTTCCCGAACGTTCAGTAAAGCGCTTTCATTTCTGAGCGTGTGTCTCAGGTGAACTCTCGCATGCCACGTGGACAAGGATGTTCACTCTTGCTTTGCTCTTGGCTATACTGGAAACAAGAAAAAGAAAAAGAAACATCCTGAAAGTCTCTCAGAAAAGAAACTCTGCTACATTCAGTCGTGAGATACCACATAGCTGTTAAAGTGATGAGCCGCCACCTGCTCTCCAAACCATTGTCTTCCGAGAAAACAAGTCACACAAGGTCAATCCCTTAGGATACATGCATATGTTTAGAGCTTTCAAAAATTTCTTAGGGTCCCTCCGCAGGCCCTGGGACCTGTCTCACATCAGCAGCGTTTGGACGGCACAGAGCCAGGGGCGCCCCGTCCTCCAGCCTCCGACCCCCCTCCTGCCTCTGTTGCGGTCACCGCCTTCGGAACCACCTCGGCCACCCTCTGCTTCTGAAACCAGCCAGCAACATTTTCTGAGCTTCATTCCTCAATGCCGGGCAGCCACGAGCTGCCAAAGCCACCAGAATCCCTCCACCGCGGTGGAGGCCCCGCGAACCACCCGCGCCTACCTCTCTCTGGGCTGCCGCGTCCACGGCGAGGACGTGCCTGGCTCTGCGGGCCGTGGGCGAGGCCAGCAGAAGCAGCTCGTGAAGATGCAAGGCCAGCGCGGTGGCCGCATCCTCTCCAGGACGTGCCAAGGCCGTCCCAGGGTGACTGGGGTGACACCCAGGACCCGTGGGAGCCGCCGTGGTCCTGGAGAGGAACCCAACGCGGGCCCTTGCGGACCTGCAGGCCCTGGCTCTG